TTTATTCTTTATTTTAAATGTTTAATTATTTGATCCATCTGTGAATGTTTTGGACACAGGATTGAGGTAGGGATCCAATTTAATATTTTCCAATGCCTAAACCATTTATAATATTTTACTCATGCCCCGTGATTTATCATATATCAGAATCTCTTATATAGCTCAGTCTATTTGTTAATCTTATTCTGTTCACTTCTTTGACTGCTTATTCATGTACCAGAACCAAATTCTCCTGGTTACTATAGCTATATAATACACTTAAATATACTGAAAATTCTCTTTCATTTTTCTTCTTTCTTTTAGTATTTTCCAGCTATTCTTTCATGCTTATTTTATCACGAAATCTTTAGAATCAACCTGTATAGTCACTAAAAATTAAAATTTTGATATCATTATGGAGATTGCATCAAATTTATAGATCAATTTAGGGAAAATTGATACCTTTTTAAAGTTTCAAGCCCGCTTACCATTCTCCAATAGAATATAACTTTATATTTGTTGAATTTTTCATTTATGGCCCTCAAAATAATTTGAAAGTTTTCTTCACATAGATCTTATACATTTTTTAAGTTTATTCATATGTATTTTATGGTTTGAGTTCATACTGTAAAGAAAATCTCTTCTTCAAATATATATTCTATGTGGTGCTACATATAGAAAACCTATTGATTTTTGTATGATTTCATATTTTTAATAGTTTTCGAGGTTTTAATATGCTTTTCTTGGATGTTCAAGACTCAATCTTATATGAATAAATGATAATTTTGGTTCCTCCTTTACAATTTCTATACCTCATCTCTCTTGTCTGATTGCACAGACACCTTTCTCCAGAGAAGAAAATACTAGTTATATATTTATGATATTTTTTGCCATTCAGAAATGTTGAACTTTTATGTCAGAAAATATGTCAATCTATTCTTTTGTAGCTTCTGGGTTTCACATCTTGCTTCAGAAGATCTTTCCCATCCCCCAAATACTAAAGTCACATTTCATATTTTCTTCTAATATTTATAGTTTTCATTTTACGTTTAGATCTGTAATCCATCTGGAATTTATTTCTATATATTGCATGAGATAAAAATCTAACTTAATTTTTTCCAGATGGATTGCAAAATTTCCCAACATCATTTGTAAATTTGGTCAGCCTTTCCTCACTGGTTTGAAATGCCACTTTAATCATATTCTAAATAGATTAGTTTTATTTTTTAAACTGGAACTTAAAAACCATAAAGAAAATGAATTGCAGTAGAGAACAAAGACATGAAAAGCAGGCAAAAAATAGACATTAAGATAAAGTTGTGCACACACTATTTAATGTTTACAGTAAGATACAAAGGTCATTCATAGCAAAATAGTACAAATATACATACTTCAGAGAAAATATTCTCATATAGTTTTCTGGTAAGAAAGATTCAGAGGATGGATACCCATAAAATACAAGGCTGTGGCAGTTAATTATTCAAACATATTCAAACATTGTTTAGAGTTTCTTCCATCACATGGAAAGTTATTTGAAGCCTCAAAGCTATAAACATCCTCCAGCTGCCTGGTTTAACCTCAAATCAGATGCTTCTGAAACTGGATCAGAATGTCCACTAAGTAAAAAAATGAAGTCTGAAATTAGAAAAAAAATTAACAGTCTCCTTTTTTTCTTTTAATTTGAGACTGTTTGGCTTTTTCACTCGCATCTCTGAGTCTCTGCAGTATATTTCAACATCTCTCTTTCTTGGCATTGGAGGAGTGCTAAGGTAGACAGAGGCCTGGCTTTGGCAATTCTTTCTTTTTAACAGGAGACTCAGTTAAGAGTCATGGAGATTAAATGCCAAAGATAATAAGAGTCAACATTCAACTCTGAAACCTGGGTGGAAATCCTAATGCTTGTCCACCTACAATGCATGCCTTTCCAGAGCTTTGAAAAGTTTCTATTAAATAACAGGCTAGCAATTAATATTGCAATAGTAAATCCTGGTATTTCTTGCCCATATCTTTACGGTTTTATGAGACCTAAAGGGCTATGTGTTAGTGGAACTACAACAGAGCTAAGGGTACATTTGTGCAAGACTCTTCCCTGGAAGATTAGAAAGAATTGTTACTGGCCAATGCAAAATTTTATTTTTTAAGCTATCTATTACAGCTTCAATAAAAATTAAAAGAATAATCACAGATAAGACAGCTTACTAATTTTACCATGTCAAGTTATGTCCTTTGAGGCTCATTCAGCAAAGGCAAAGAAAACCCACAAAATGGTCTTGAGGTGTGTTTCTGCACAGTATCATTAAAACATGTGGACTATGTTCACAAGCAGAATGATGTGTTTTTAAGAAGAACATTTAATTAAGCTTTAATCAAGCAATTAAATAACAACAATAGCAATGATAACAACATCACCAACAACCACAAATAAGGCACTTTCTTCAGTGGTTGGGGAATTTGTCTGTCGTGTGTCTGTGGCAAGGAGGGGCAGTGCAGAGGTATGGCTGTGTCACGTTATACAGATGATGTGAGTTAGTTATCTTATTGCAAATAAAATGTAAACAAATCCTAGGATGTCAACATGTGGGAGGTAACTGATGTTCTAGCCACTTTATAACAAACACTGGGATGTTTCAAAACATTACCATGTTTAGCAGTCTACACTAAAAACATACAATTTAACTGAATACATTTTTAACTTTTCATCCTGGGTCCTAGGGATGGATACAACCTGGACTTAGAGCTTTTTAAAAATAAACTAAATGAATACAGATTTTTTTTCTGTAAAAACATCCATTCTAAGGGAGTGGGAGTATTGGCAGTTAGGTTAACAAATGCTGCCCTTAGCAGATTTTCCTGGAAAACCTTGCAGAGCGTGTGTCTATTTTTGCCACCATTAATTGCCAAGACAGTCCTGGGTGCTCTTTGACTTCCTGACACTCTAAATGAAGCTAGATTTTGGACAGACTTTTTATTTCTCAGGCCTTCAGAGGAGTGCTAATTATAAAATACTTTATTTAAACACTAAAAACTCATTCATGAAGCCAAGCCAAATCTCAGATTTGAAAGTATTTAAAATCATCCTTGCAACAGCCGTACTACTTTATACTTTGTCTATTTTTAGAGGCTCAATGTTTGTTTTGCTGGAAGAAAAAAAATTAAAACATGAAAAGTATGCCATGAGCAAATCTGCAATAATAAGCAGCACATACATGTTGGGGAAGAAAATATTCAACACAAAGCAGTCAACATAAAAACAGATTCTGCTGAGACATTTTTATAAATAGCAATTATTATTTTGCTTTCAATTGCTAAGCATTTTAAATAACATGTCCTTAAAGGTTGTCAAGTTCTTTACTTCATGTAAATATAATTTCCTGATCTTAACTTTCATGGAGTTATTATGGAAAATTATAAATGTATTCCATTAGTCTCATGCATCATTTTACAATCATGATATTGTTAAAATTAGAAGCATGAGTAAGAAAAGAAAGAAATAGAAACATATAACTGAATGGCACTGAAGAAGCCATTTATTGGAAAATATGCATTACTCTGCATAAAACCAGAATATGTCTATAAATCTTAGTATCAAATGTTTTGAATGGACATTATGTCACACAGATATTTATAGATAAAATCGCCCCAATTCGTTGTCGATAGGTCATACCCAGTTAAGGGTACACTCTACCTTAAATGTCCTTTTGAATTCCTGAGCATACTGACATAGGAGGAATTATGCTTTGAACCCTAAAAGAACAGTTTTTTAACTGTTTGCCTTATGTAATTACTGCATACTCCCCAGCAAATTTTCACACTGCATCTTTTACAGCAAAAATTCTCTATAAAAGCTTCTGAATCACCTCCATCTGGAAAGTACAGAGGTATGTAAAGGGAAAGTACAGCTATTTCAATACTGGGAAAATTAAGTCCTAATGCAGGAAAATAATGCGTATTATTCCCACAGTCTGGTGGCACGTTCCGAGCCCCGTCACTCATCCCTGGCTGTTGGCCATGAGTGGGGCTGATGCTGTCCTCCATCCCCGTGTTCCCTGAGACCAAAGGCCATCTCCAGTAGCGGCGGTTCAGAGGAGCTGCAGCTTTTTTCCGCGACTGCTGGCAGACACCAGAAACCATGGTAACACTTAGGGCCCGAAACACCTTTATTCATGTTTCAGAGCTTCCCTGCATCTGCCCACGTGATTCGACTTGGCAATACAGAAAATGGTAAAGTGGGGCTCAGGAAAATACCGACGAACACTGCAAATCATGCTCAGAGTGGAAATTGTGACCTTGCTAGCATTTTTCCAGTATTTCCTGCCTTGCCACCAGTAGATACGTAACCGAAATGGCTTGCTGTGAATTTCGTAGTACCGAAGCCAAAAGCAATAAAATTTCTGTAACAGCATATGCGCCATGACAGAATACCACATCAGCCCAGAAAAATGATTTTCCTGGGAAGGGCTGTGCAGCAATGAATAGGGCTCTCTATGATACGGAAGCTGGGCAGAGATTTTCACTGCTTCCAGCCCACAGTGAGGTAATTTTAAAGGCACTTTTCCCTTCATTTGTTCTGCATTCACTGAATGTACATTTTTTGATGTCAGAGGGACATTGAAGAAAAGATCAGACGAGATAGTCTGACAATGGAGCCAAAGTTCAAAGCTTCTCTGTTTTCAGGTAACCGCGGTGATAGTTTGCACTAAATCTTTCGAGGGCATGTCACTATAACCCTGCCCATAGCTTTTTCAAGCAGTTCGAGACAAACAAATCACTTAGCCGTTGAACAACTACAACATCTGATACCAACACATGGAAGTTGTAAGTAAGAGCCACTAATCAAAGTTCCTTCCATTCAGTTGAAAAAAGAAAATTCCTTGGCTTTGGTTTAAGATCACCTTTTTATGTTATTCTTTTGAAAATTATGATAGGCCAAAGTCGGAAAAGAAAAAGAAAGAAGACGATCCCGTCTGTAGGAAGAACCAGAAAGTCCAAGGTCCTAGCTGCACGAGGATGTGAGTAAGTCACTACGGTGTGGGGTGGGAGTCCTCGGAAGCGTCATCAGACGCGACAGGGGTGGCCCGCAAGGGAAGCGCCAGGCCCTCCTGAGGCTCGCTCTGCCAGTCCTGGGGGGGGAGCCCACGCTCGGAGGGCTGTCCCGGGCCACTGTGCTGTCCTCTCGGGCCATCTGCCTGACTGTGGGAGGAGGCACGGACTCCCAGGGCCAGCACCACCAAGCGGTACAGCTGCAACACCACCACGAGGAAATTCTTCGCAGCAAAGAACACCAGCATCTGATTTATCACTTTGAAGTGGGCCATCAGTACGAGACGTACGACAAGGAAGGGACCATCTTGGATGAAGACACTGATTCCGATGTTCCACAGATCGGCACTGTACTGGCAGAAGAACAGGCTGAGGAATCCTCTCGCTGTCACAGACAGGGGGCACACAAAATTCTGTACTGAAAACCCAAGACAGACAACTTACCATCTCTCTCTGGACTGTAGACATGTCGGACAGAATGACATGGGGACAAGTCATTAACAATGGGAGCTGTGCTAGTACGCGATTGGAATTGACCCGGTAGTTTAATTTTGGGTGGAACAAATGAGAGCACCTTGCTATGTAGTTTCCATCCATGTAAAAAATGTCAGATCATCTTGTCATCACTCTGAGGAAAACACAAGTAAAGAGACTACAGGGAATAAAGAAGGAAGGAACTGCCAGTGTGTTCTCGGGGTCCGCGGTGTGTGGGCGGCACAGTAGTGTGCTCCAGGCCTCAAGGCAGGCTTGGCTGCCGCTCTGGCTGCGGCACTTTCTAGCGGAGAGATGCTGGCCAAGTCACTTAACCTCCTGGTTTCTTCCTTTGAAAACTGGGATAACAATGACATCTGTGAGGACAGGCCTATTCATGGCCTCATTTTGTTTCTGTTGGAGTAAAAGCCCTGCCTTCCCCTCACTTGCTTCCACAGTCTTCACCTTAGGATCATGACTGATGTGCTTGACTGTAAGTTTGGGAGATGGAGCAAAGTGTACATGGCCCAGATCATCCTGGATCCTCACTCTAGGATCCACCTATTTACTGGTTGACTCAGTGATATGGGTAAATTGTGTTGTGAAAATTCAAGTACTTATTCAAATTCAAACTTAATTTATGTTAAACATATTTTTCTAATGATGGTGGGTGGGGGGAAGCCCAAATAAATGCCATTGTTATTTTATTTTGTCCTAATTCTTTATGCTTTTGTTTCACAGTTTACAAGAAAGACTGGATGTAATTACTGATTTTCCAGCTGAACAAAAGGAGGTCCAATCAACAGATGAACCTTTTGTTTTAATTTCTAAAATGTAAATTTAATTCAGGGTCAAGGGCAGAAAATAATCCTTTTATAATAATGAAGCTTTCCATTTGGAGTTTTCAAACAAAGAATGCCTTCGTCTACTGCCGCCTGCAAATACGATGAAGCTGCTTTGATATGGATGAACATAATGTACTGTTTGTTGGAAAATACAATAGTGATTTAGTCAGAAGTAACATTTGGTCTTTGTTTTTCAAACAGCTGCATAACATTATCACCCTTGAAAGTTTACAAAATTTCTTTCTTAAATAAAAATTTTCTTAGCAAGGCTGTAAACCACAAGATAGGGGAGGGCGAGGATCAGAGAGTGAATGACAAAGGAAAAACTAATGTAAGATCAATCATAGCCTTTCCTGAGAAGCTAGGTCAGGAGATGGCTCCCAAAGGACCTCCTAAGGGTATTACTCAATATCTAAAGTGGTGGCACCTGACATCCTATCAGTAGACAGCAGCTGACCAATGAGCACAGTGTACCTTCAAGGGCACACCATGACAAAATTTGTGTGTGCATGTTATTAACATACATTCGTTTGTAATTATTAATCAGCAATTAGTTTTCAGATATTTCAAAACAGCCACAGCAACTCTTTCTGTTTGTTCTGGTGACAATTTTCTTTCAGAAAGTGGGTGTTAATGTCTAAAATGGCCTCTGACCTCGCAGCCTATCAAAGGGAGCCAAAAAGGATGCAGACAAAGCTAAATATTTCTGTTCTATGGATTAATTCCTATCCTGAGGCCATCAAGTTGGATATCATTAAAAAAAAAAAGTCAAACTAAGAAAAATGTAATTATTCACGTGTAGAATTTCTTCAGAGTAAAGTGGCATCCAAGAGAATTCCCAAATCAAAATTGTAGGGTTCTAAGAAGTTGTGGGATGACTCCAGATCAACACCGTCCAATTGAACTTTCCATGATGGTAAAAATGTTTTATTTCTCTGCTGTCCAATATACTAATAGTAGCCATTGTGGCGATTAGCACTTGAAATGTGGCTAGTGTGACCAAGGAACTGAACTTTTAATGTTATTTAATTTTAATTGATTTTAATTTAAAGAGTCACGTGTGGTTGAGGGGTACCACGCTGGACAATGCAAGTCTAGACCATCACTAGTATAAAATTCCTGGGAAACAGTTTACTTCTTGCAAAATATCAGGAGTTTATAAGCCTTTGTTAAAGTAAGATCAATGGGATTCCAAGAGCCGCCACTGAGGGAGATTTTAATTTTTAATTTTTACTCCTGAAATTACCCTTTCTCCGAGGTTCAAATACATGGGTCTGAAAAAGAAATGAAAATGACCCCTTGAAAATATTAAGAGATAACACTCATATGCCAGCAACTTGCTAAACACTTTACTATGTGTTTAAATAAATAAAACTATGTCTTACTGAATCATCACAAGAACCTTCAGCCCTGGCTACTATGATTATCATCCCTATTTCATGGATGAAAAAACTGAGGCACAGAGGTATTAACAGATTTATGGAGGTTTTACAAATCATAACTGATAGAACCACCATCTGAAATTAATAAAAAGCTGTACGATTATCCGCACAACTATCTTAAGCTCACAGTGTACCAGAGTGGATCCACTCATGACTTCCTAAGTTTCAATCTACTTCCCTTCTAAGCTGAACTGGAACTAACACTGGGATATCGAAACAATAATCCTCTCGATTTCCTCCTTAGCTTTAGTACAGTTTATAATCAAGAGTTGTAATTTTCTGTTTCTTTGCACAAACATCAAGACACTTACCTGCCAGGTCAAGTGGAAACTGCAGCATGCTCCAAGTCCATATAATAAGGATAGCATAGACTAGTGCAGGGCTATTCCTAGAATACAGATAAAACTTTAAATTAGTAATAAAAAGCATTATCAAATGCAGAAAAGAGAAATCTTCCCAGCCCATATTTGAATATATGCCTAATAAACCTCTTGGGAGTTGCCAAATATCTTGGTGATATAATAAATCCATGAAAAAATTCATGCATGATCATAAAGGAATAATAAAGAAGAATTGAAAAATAAATATTCTGAGACTTAAAACTCAACATATGCAAGAATTATACAAAGCCTCTTGGTACCATATTGCTGTCTTTAGCTTTAAAAAATCATGGTGACATTATGGCAGAGACATGATTAGAAAAAAATGAGATTGATTGATATTCAGGTAGGTATACATGGATACATGATAGATATACATGGATATTCAGAAGGCTGATTTCAAGAAATTCCAGGGGGAAAAACTAATAATTATTCTAAGATTACAGGGATCTAACTGAAAAGACATCTCAAAAGACCTAAATGGTGCTCAAAAAAGCTCAGCATGTAAAAGTAAACTGTCCTTAGGTGGAAAAAATAGTGAGGAGATAAATCCAATAAACAAAGATATTTACACAGATACTAGGATGTAAGGCTAGGAATATGTATTTCATTGAACACTGTATCCTCAGTGCCTAGAACAGTGCCTGACAAATAACAGGCATTCGACAGGTATTTGTGGAAGGAATGGTAGAATGTACAAAACAAGGGCCCATTCTTGGGCAAACATACAAATGTTACAGATCTAGGAAAATGATCATGAAGACTAAAGTCAGAAAGAATAGACATTACAGAAATGCAAAGGATATTAAAGAAAGTGACATTTATTTTTAGCAAAAATACAAAGGAAGTTATCAATTTGAGCTCAGTGGTATAATAACAGATCTTGTTTTCATCTTCAGTCAAGAGAGATTTTCAGATTGAAGAGGGCTGGAAAAGCAGGGAAGAGTAATTGAAACCAAATTAAATGAGGTGATTGTAAGGGATATCTTTAAATGCTTCAAGTGTTGAGGCCCTGAAAAATTAAGTCTCAAAACTCAGAATTTGTAAACGAGATTTCTAAGCCAGCATTATCTGCCTTGGCAGTTAATGGTGGAGACAAGGCTGGTGACAGAAAAAGTCTCTACTTTCAAAATGAAGCAGAAATATCTCAAAGTACAAAAGCCACATTTACTATTAATCCCGAATTAGATTATATAAGTGATTCTTTAAAAGATTTCTGAGAGCCCTTGTAGAAGAAGACAGTAATTACTAAGAATCAGCACAGGTTCTCTGAGAACAATTGCACTCAACTAAGATTATTTCCTCTTTTTTTTTTTTTTTTTTGGTATTGAGGTTAGGGTTACCAAGCAGGTAATGCTATATAAACTGATGACAGACATTTGGATTTAAACAAGGCTTCTGAAAAAATCTTCCATAGTGTCCTCAGTAACAAATTAAGAAATGTTCTGGGTGTGAGTACTGTTAAGTGGATTCCTAACTATGTAAATGGCTCCCCACAGGGAGCTCTCCAAGGGGTTGCTGCAGGCTGAGCCTTTGAGTCTGTTCTACTTCACATTTCAGCGATGACTTGGTTGATGACATTGATGGGAGGCTTCTCATATGCCCGTATGACATGGAGCTTGGATAGAAAAACAGTATCCCGGATGACACAATCAGGATTCCGAAGGAGGTAACTGAATGACCTAGATTAGGAGTAGAACAGGATAGAAGAGAGAGCATTTCACAGCAGCAGTTACAAAAAAGGCTCGAGCATTTCCCTTACTATTATCTAATTATGAGTCCACAGTGTGACATGATTTATGATTTAGCAAAATCAAATGCAATCATAGGTTGCTTCAGAAGAAATACAAAGTCTAGAATTTTAAGAAGAAATGCCTTGGGTATGCAGACTATAACTTTTCCCTCTTTACAAGGTCAATATCTATACACAGTAGACCTTCAATAAGTGCCTGGATTTTTAAATAATGTTTGTGATCTCAAACTTAAATGCCAGGAAGTTTTCCAAATGCTTAACTCTATGATCACACTTAATCTCACACCAATTCAACAAAGTAGACACAATTATTATTCCTATTTTACCAGCGAGGCAACTGAGGCATAGAGAGTTTAGGAAATGTGTCCAAAGTCATGTGGTTCTAAGTGTTGGGAGCAGAAATCAAAACTAGATAGCTGATTTCAGCATCTACACTTTCAACCATTACACTATACTATTTCTGTGAATGAAATGGAAAGTTTTAGCTCTGCTCTGTTCTACAATGTTCAGAGCATACCTGAAATACAATGTTTGGTGCTCCATGTTTTAGGAGGAAAGTTTATCAAGTTACTTGTACCAAAGGGGAAAAGCTAGGATGGTAAGGGAACTTAGAGCCGTGTTACATGTGGGATAGTTCAAGAAACTGAAAACTAAAGAAAATTCCTTAAAAGCTTCATTTCATATGTTTCAAGGGCTATAATGTGGAAGAGGAATTAAACTTATTTCTTGTGACTTTAGAAGGCCAGTTCAGGCTCAAAGGATTCTGGTTGCACTTCTAAGAATCCAAATTTCATCACAATATAGGAAAGTGCTAATAACATTACCTCAAACTAGAATAAATTGCCACTTGGGTTAATACATTGTCTATTAGCGGAATTTTTCAAATAGAACCTGCAGAAAAACGTGTTGAAGATATTTTGGAGAGGATTTTTCAAAAAATAGATACAAAATAAATTTTTCATAAGACGGTCACTTTTGAAGTTTCCTTTAATCCCAAACTTCAATAATTCTACCAAAAACTCAGGTGCAATTTGTCTGTAAGGCAGTAGAAAGCAAAGCATGGGCTCTGGTGCTAAGTGACCTGTAGTTCAAATACCAGTTCCCAGCCTCGCTAATGAGATAGGATATGAAACTCTAATCTTAGATTGATCACTTACTAGTTATGTGAATATGAACAAGTAATTTAACATTTATATACTTTAATTTACCCATTTACATTTTAAGGATGACAAAAGCTACTAGACTTTTTAAGAACTACATTATTTAATTATGTTAAACATTTAAAGCTGTTAGAAGAGCACCTGACACAGACTATTATGGTAGATCACTACAATTTACGTATTTTTATATTACATGTAATTTTGAGACTTTTTAAATTTCTTTTGCCTGATACTGCTTGCTTGTAAAATAGTGATAATGATAATATCTATCTTATTGTGTTAATGTAAAGACTAAATAACTTATTAAACTAAAGCTCTTAACAGATGTCTTGGCATACAGCAAGTGACAAACATTAACTAATAGTAATATTTCTATTATTATGTCAACATGCTTTTAAAACTCCTTGTCTCAATTTCATCCTCTTACAAAATAGGAATAAATGATAGCCTAATCCTAGCCCTACACAAGGCCAACTTTAACCATATAATAATGAATGCATGGTTTTTGCATATGCATGTATTATCTCTACATACACAAAATATGAAGGAATGTGGGTGTTGAGAAACATATTAGTAAAATTATCAAAAGTAACTTTGGAAAAGTAGGCCAGAAATTTTTTAAAGCAGGCAAATATGAATTTTTAGATCAGGAAGTAAAAAATACTCAGAAAGGTGAAATGCTGGAATGTAAATAAATCACTGAGTTTAAATCACAAACACTCAAGCTCTGCCAAGGAATTCTGGGTGGATTTATCTACCACTGTCCCCTATGCATGATCTGGCTTCACAGATGTCAACTGAGAAGCATGTAAGTAGACTTGATGGACTTGATTCACAAAGAAACAAAAGATCTTGAGAAGTAAAATCATTGATGTGAGTATCACTATCCTGCTTGAAAAACTGGGAGGATAAAAGACTGGTATTTGGCAGATCAACACACTCAATCTGGTGGGTAAAAATTAGAAATAAAAAGTCACATTTGCCAATTCACTTAACTATTTCTTTTTGGAAGTGTAAATATTCCTGTAGATAAGAGGAAATCTGGGGATAGAAATCATCTAGCTTTTAAAAAAAAAATTGACCAACACCTTCGAGAAGGAAAAAATAATGAGAGAAAGAGAGAGAGGAAGAAAGTAAACAAAGTGTTAACCTCTCCTGGAAGAGATGTTTCACCAAGATAAACAAAGAAAAATGAAGAGAAAACACAATGTAAACATAGGAAGATTCTCCTTTGTGTGGTCAAATACTCATAGTAAAATATCAGTAATGTTGGAAAACAGATTTCTTCTTCTTAACAAATGATTTATGTTCAATAACAAGACCAGATAGAGTGATGTCCGAATGTATAAAACGTCCAGTGAACTCTTGTTGGCAATGATGTTGAAATTCTGAATTGTGAAAATGTTGGAGGCTGGCTGTAACCAAATGAAAAAGTCGGCAAATACTCTTCCCAAAAGACATGTATAATATTGGAAAAATTGTCAATATTCACCATTTAGGGCTCTGGAAATCAACCAAAGGCGAACAACAAGCTGAGTTCATGAAACCGGTAGAAATTCAGAAAATCTACAGCATTCTTTCCCATGGATATTCACATATCCCCAGCTTGGCTGTGTCAAAGAAAAAATGCACTGTTAAACAGGTTAGGAAGAATTTATTCTAGACTATTGCAATAGGGGAGAGAGACTAAACTCTCCTGAAACTAAAGATGGGAAAGTTTTTAAGCACTGGAGTGAGCTAGTGGAAAGTCCTGGAGGTTCGGGTGGAGGTTGCTCAATGTGATTATGCCGTTTGTGTTTGTTAATTGGCACTTATCTAATTAAGATCCTACTGTCCCACAGACTGGGATATTGGGGTTCTTTCTTTATGATTACATTTTAAAGAGATGCTTTCCAGGTCCTTGAGAAAGAGGTTGTTGGGTTGTAAACTGGCAAGAAGCTGGGAGAAGATTTACATCTCAGAGAGGTAGAGAAAGAATTTATAATATCAAGTTTTCCAAAGTAAATGCTAAGAAAAGAGAAGTCAGGGACCTAAAGTCAGGGAAAACCCTGTCTAAAATTTATTCAAGTTCTGGAAACAGGAAGGCCACCCTGATCAATCAAAGTTGTTTTACCAGAGAAGGCTTGGCAATGAACACCAGGCTCCTTGTGGCCAGAGGGTACTGACTTGATTTGGAGTGGAGTATGAAAACTCATACTCTAAGGCATGGTCAATAAAAGTAACAAATTTAGTTGGAATTGAATCAGAAAATCCACTCTGAAGTTGCAATCCCAGTTGGAGTGAGTAATGAACTAATTCTAAATTTAATGAAGAGATTCTGAAAGTGACAGAGTTATAGAAGGGCTATAGTTCTCTTGTATGCTTGGCTTACTGAGAAATTACAAGCATGTGCTGGGAAGACTCAAGAGGACACAGTGGAAATTAAAGGCTGAGGTAGATGTAAAAACTTCCTGAACCTTAAATGTGCTACCCAGTCCATACACAGATCATCAGAGTGTAGAAGTCATAGGGCTCAAAGTGTTTGATCACAATCTCTGCCCAAATCATTGGCTGACCTCAAGCTATGTAGTTAAAGGTGTGGCTGCTAAGACGTCAAGCTAAGAATAAAACTAAGAATTAAAAAAAAAAACCAAACAAACCTGAGATATGCGTGACTACAGTCCAAGGAAAGGTAAATCCTTCAGATTAAGAAAACAAAGCAACAAAAGAAGAAGCCTGAAGTGGTGAGAGGACAAAGCCTTTGGATAATATATTATTATGTTACCCAAAATGTCCAGTTTTCAACAAAGTAAGTATGTGACATGCAAAAAACCGAAGTGTGTGACCTATAATCAGGGGGAAAAACAGTCAAAAGAAACTGGCCCTAATGGGGCCCAGATATTTGATTTAGTAGAAAAAGAAATCAAAGCAACTATTATAAATATGTTCAAAGAATTAAAGAAAACTAAATTTCAGAAATTAAAGAAAAATATCATGGCAATGACTCAACAAATAATCTAAATAAAGATACAGAAACTATAAGAAGGATTAAATAGAAATGCTAGAGTTGAAAATATGGGTACTGAAATAAAAAATTTATTAGAGATATTCTATAATTTGACTCTACATCTAGATTTGAGATGGCAGAAAAAAGACCCCATGACCTGGAAGATAAATTCATGAAAATTATCTAATCTGAAGGACAGAGAGTAAAAAAGATTGAAAAAAAAAAATCAACAGAGCTTCAGAGACCTATGGAACACAATTAAGCATATACATTTTTAATAGGAGTCCCAGAAGAAGAAAGAGAAAATAAAGAGGAGAAAATATTTAAAGAAATAATAGCTGAAATTTTTGAGAAAAATTCTGGCGTTTTCTTAAAAAGTTAACATAAAACCAGCCATTCTACTTCTAGGGATCTACTGAAGAGAAGTGAGAACACAGCCTGCCAAAAGTGTGTAAGTGAATGTTGATAAACAATGTCATTCTTAATAGTAAAAAAAAAAAAAAATGGAAGTAATACATACATGCATCTACTACTGAATGAATAAAAAAATGTGTTATATGCATTCAATGGAATACTACTCAGCAATTATTAATAAAAGGAACTAAACACAAAACAACATGGATGAACCCCAGAAACATTGTGCTAAGTAAAAAAAAAGGGCAACCTATTTTATCATTCTATTTCCATGAAATTTCCAGAAAGGAAAATTTACAGAGAAAAAGAGTGTGCCTCCAGAAAGTAGTATGGATACATCAAAAAACTAAAAGTAGGACTACTATTTGATCCAGCAATCCTACTACTGGGTATCTACCCAAAGAAAAAAAAGACATTCTACAAAAAAGACATCTGTACTCAATTGCAAAGATGTGGAAACAACCTAAGTGCCCATCAGTACATGAGTGGATTAATAAAATGTGGTATATGTATACCATAGAGTACTACTCAGCCATAAAAAATGATGAACTACCTATTGTCTTATCCCAGACAGAGCCGGAGCCCATTATTCTAAGTGAAGTATCACAAGAATGGAAAAACAAACACCACATGTACTCAGCATTAAATTGGTACTAATCGATCAACACTTATGTGCACATATGGGAAGGGACATTCACAGGGTATCGGGCAGGTGGAGGGGGGAGGAGGAGATGGGTAAATTCGCACCTAACGGGTGCAGTGCACACTGTCGGGGGAATGGGCATGCTTGTAGCTCTAACTCCGGTGGTGCAAA